GGTCAAGGTAACCATTAGTCAACCTACTAACATCATGGTCCTATACTTTAGGAACCATACTTAGCCACGTGCCAACTCAGCATAGTTGTCCCGATATTTTAGGGAGAGTGGTGCAACGTAGGTGGTTACCTCAACCGCCCACTAGCCCCACTACTCGCCCAATCCCTAGAATCAAGGCAACCGCATGCTAACCACGATGATTAAGTGTAGGGAATTTTTCATCTCACGCCCTACTGTGGTTCATGTTTTTAAGCATGGAGGCGCTCTAAGGAAAAGAAGCTAGCTAGAGAAAAAAAAGTCCCCAACAAGTTTTAGAAACTTGTAAACCGTTCACGGGTGTGAACGTTACACCCCATTCACGATCATAGAGATTGCTAACTCCATAGTGGTCCGAAACCATGACTGGATGTTCGGGGATGATGGTACGAATCCAACCTAAAAGAGATTGAACCCGTCCTAAATTGGCCTCTACTTAATTCCTTAGATATTCATGCACGCTTTTCGATCAACATAAATACATCAAATTAATCCTAAACCTGTTTAATCTACGTTGGTTGATTATTAATGCACAATCAAATCTAATATTAGTGATCACTCGAATTAAAATCATATTGAACCTGAATCAAATTATTAATTATCTTATTAGGCGTGATTTCAATTACAAATTCTCTTTAAGCCTACAAAAAAGTGCGTGATCAAGCAATATCAATAAATCATGAATAATCAAGTAACATATTATTAATATAACAATCATCATCATAAAAGCATCATCAAAATATTGTTAGTAGTAAGATCCTAGGCATGATACTAAACGGATTAATAACAAATCCTAGCATGTCACTGATAGCAAAATCAAAGCGTTATCCTAAACATGATACTAACAATCAAAATAACATCCTAAGCATGATTTCTACTCGAAGATCAAAAGAATAATTAAGTAGTCGAATTACTTACTTTGATGCCTCGACTTTCTTGCTATTAAAAACAATACACACGTTAGTAAACTTCAAGAAAGTTAAATCAATAAAGTAAATAATAAACTCAATTAATTAAGAATTGAAATATAGATTTGGGACCAAACCCTCAGAACTATCAACCTTTCATGTCGAGGTCGAAGGCAATGTTGAGTATGGTTTGGAGTATCTGAATCTCGCGAAGGAGGTATTGTGACTGATTGGGATGTATCAAGGATGTGTTTTGGCTAAGAACATGGATGATTGATGATGATTGGAGCTAGTGATTATGGGTTATAATTGATGGTTCTAGCTGATCTATAAAACAGGGAAAACGACCTCTATTTATAGGGGAAAAAGAGAGTCGAAGTGATCAGAAAAGATCAAAATTCGAATCAAAATAGAATAACTCTTAACGCGGGGTGACAGACTTATCGCGACGTGCCAGTGTCCATCGCGACGCGATGGAACTAACGTGGCACGTTGGTTCTGTCGTCTTGCGATGATTTCTAAAGATAAAAAGCCGCACGGAATTTGATATCCAATAGAATTGGGTTGATGAAATATATCAGCCCAAGGCCACACAAGTCCATGGTTCCATTGTAGGAACCATAGTCATCGCTGACTGGGTCGCACTTGTTCCTCCATGCGCGAGTCCCCATAGTTTCCACCGTAGTGGTGGACCATAGAGACATCCTTCACTACTAAATATTAAGGTTTTTGCGACCGCCTCAAACAGTTGCTGAAAATAGCAAAAATGGTCGCTGAAATTAATTGCGACCGTCGACGGTCGTAACGTGGTGGCCGTTATTTTCTTGGTCGCAAAAATACATTATTATGACTGATTGACGGCCGCAATAAATTTGCGACCGTTTCCTTTATTTTCAACGACCAGTACTAAAATGGTCGCAAATGTTATTAATTCCGACTGGTACAGTGACGGTTGCAAATATTAAAGTTTGCGACGGCTATATGCAGAAATCAAACCAAAATGAATGAAACCCAACAGAAAAAAAAACTAGAAATGAATGAAACCCAACAAAAATCAAACCAAAATCAACCCAAAAACCTAGTAGATTTCAAACAAAATTACAAACCAAAATCATTCACAAAAATCAACCAAAAATTAAATCAACCCAAAAATCATAAATCAAACCAGAAACTAACCACAGTAATCAAACCAAAAAAACCAAAATTACAAACCAAAATCAACCCAAAATAAACATTAACAAAAATCAAACCAAAATTCAAAACGAAAATCAAACCCAATATTAAAAAAAATCAAGCGCAATATTAACAAAAATCAAACAAAAAAAACGACCAAAAATTCAACCTAAAAAATATACCAAAAAAATTAAACCCACAAAATTCGACAAAAAATCGAACGAAAAACGAAATAAAACCCACATAAATCTAAATAAACAAAAACAAACAAAAAAATTAAACCCACATAAATAAATTCGAACAAAAAATAAACCCACATAAATAAACTTGAACATAAATAAAACCCACATTAATAAAACTGAAAAAAAAAAAAAAAATTAAACCGCATAAATTCAACCAAAAAATCGAACAAAGAACGAACAAAACCACAAAACTCGAAAATAAACAAAAACAACAATTTTGTTTTGAAAATCAACATACCTTTCTCAAAATATTTTCCTCTTTGGGTTTACCAAGAAAACTCCAGATCTGGAATTTTTATGATCGAGTTTGACCATGAACACCATAATTTGTTTGTTGCTCGTTGAATAACAAAATTTGTTTATTGCTCGGTGAAGAACGCAAGCAAAGAAGAAAATTAGGGTGAGGAGGACAGGCGAGCTAGCGTTGGTGAAAAAGAGAACGGAGGGAGGAGCAGAAGAGAAGAAAGAGATAAGAAGAAAGAGAAAGGAAAGAGAACAGAAGAGGGAGAAAGAGGCGTGAGAACTGAGAAGAAATTAGGATTAGGGTGAGTAGGCCACCCCTTTTATACGCTTTTTTTTTAAAATAAAAAATAACCTCTCACAAAATTGCGACCGAGACATTAACGGTCGCAATTTGTGAAATTTGCGACCACTTTTAGCGGTTGCAACAAAGTTATTTTTATTTTGAATTTATTTTACACACGTATTTTATTTTAAAAAAATGTTGAAATACCTTTGCGACGGTTTAATAGCTGAATGTCGGTCACAGAATGGTAGCAAATCTGCGACCGCTTTGAAAATGGTCGCAATGCTACGACTACATAAAAATCAGTCGTAAATTTCATATTTTGCGACCGTTTTCATGAAAGTCGTAGAAAAACGGTCGCAATTTGACCGAATTCTAGTAATGCTTACATGATTCCAAGAGCATTCCTTTGTTAAACCACACACCACTGGGCTAGCATGCACCGTACTAAGCCATAAGCCCCTACTGGTCACCCGCGTCTGCCCTAGTTAGGACCACCGAGTCGGTTTGTCCTATCGAGTGTTCGCCTTAGCCATCCATGTGTGTTATAGTCCCCATAGGCCCTCATATATCCAAGACCATGCCCAAGGCTCTCGGCCATAAGGCCACCCTTAGGTCAGCCACTGACCTATTGAGTGAGCACTCGCCCCCAATAGAGCTTTATTTTGTTTTAGCCTGGAAATACTAGTGAACACCCAACTGACGGTAACATAATAATGGGCTCTCAAGCCCATCTTTTGAACCCAACCTTGGCCCTATGGCCATGTATGATCTATTATGGTCCTAATAAGTCCCCGCAATCAATACCAAAGGTTGTTATGGAGTTTTTCCCATCAAAATACTCTGAGGTTCTTTTGGTGCGCGTGTGCGCGTGCTAGCCATAGGCCTAAGGCCTAGCTGATTAAACCCTTGCTAGCACCATGGCCTAAGCACTTGGGGGTTATCCGCATAACCTCACAAGCCTTAGACATGATTGTGAGTTGTCTTAGCCTCACTTGGCTCGTTCCCCTTGAATCGAGCATGCACTTGCTTGTGTAGGCAAGTGAGATCCCGAAGGCCTTGCGCTCCTATGCGGGGTGGTCGACACTCTTGCCTAGGTCGACCCAAATTGACTGTGACAACTAGCTACTAGCCAGGCCATCACGAGGCTACGACTATGTGTGACTTGCGATATGTTTTTTGACTTATTTTCTTGTCTCGTTGGCTCACAGAATTAACTTGACGTTTGACGTTCGTCTTCAACGCTCTAAGCTCGAAATCCGACGTTTGAGTACGTAATGTCTTTATTCACGTATTTAACCCTTCGAATTAATTCGTCGCCTTAGTTTGGTTACGCGATTGGGTGTGACCCGTTGGGTTCAATGAAGGGTAAGCTGTGAGATTAATTATATTAATCTCACTAATCAGAAACAACCTCCGCTAGACTTTCCGATCACTTGACTTCACTGAATAATTAGCTTCCCTAATTAATTCCAAACCCTCTATCGAAATAATACACTTGTTTGAAGGACATCATTCCTTTCATAAGTACCTTAATCATTAATGATGGGAGGGGTGAATATAGACTTATTATTCAAGGTATATTAAGTACTCCAACTTCTCTCTACTTTCTCTATCTAAAACCCATTGTTTTTCGGTTACTAACTTGACTGTCGGAGGCGAATATCCGTTGTTTTGCAAGTGTCTGCAACCGTCCGAACACATTGAAGACCTGTATCCCAAGGGAATCCCAAAAACCCCCAAATCAATTGATGTTTGGAGGTGTTTTTATAAATAAGGGTGGTGGTGACAGTAGTTTCCATGGATAACTTGGAGGAGGAAAGGTGGTTTCAAAATCTAGAGTTTGGGTGAGTGATTAAGGTTAGAGAGGAGGGAAGGTAATGGTGGGTTAATGATGTTTAAAAGGTGAGGTTAAATAAGTAAAAGTGCAGTGTTAAAGTTGCCAAATAAGGAAACATGTCAAAGTAAAAAGAAACTTATCAAAAAGGAATACAGATCAAGTAATAAAGAACGGAGGAACTATATTATTACGTATTTTTTTTAACTAATCCTCCTAACCTACGCACAAGGAGAAATGAAACAAGTAATAAAATATGGAGAGAGTATTAAGTATAATTTTCCAATAATAATTTATGAGTACCAAAATTTTGACTGAGACATTAAACAAACCGATAACGGTTTCCCGGTTGGATAGAGAAATTAGAGATTTGTTTGTTTATTTTTTTCATTCATGGGTGAATGTTGAAAACCTGCCGTATCATTCACTTATAATACTAGAGAAATTTCTCTTATTCGATTCGATTCTTCCAAAACTTTGAATAACCGATTTAATTTATTCATAATTTGAAAAAGTAAACAAATAGCGCCCACCATTTGGTTTTTGAAACCCTAATTACTTTTTATTTTTATTTTTTCCTTTGCTGGGTCTTGTTTCTACACGCTACCAGTTACACGATTTGACTCAGTTCAAGCTTTCAAGGTCCCAAATACTTTCTTGTGGATTTTGAGTTTCTGGGTATTTTCCGATTCTTAAATCCATTGCTTTAATTTCCTCCAAATTTCGTGGGTTTTTGATTGCTTGAAGATTGGTTAATGAATTTTGATGGGCTGGAAAGTGCATAAATGTAATACTTGGTGCGATTTAGAAGCAAGTTTTGAGCTGTGATTTTGTTGGGTTTTTGGGTATTGTTAGATTTTCTATAATTTGGTGGTGTTTTTGCATAATTTGTTGTTGATTTGAGGTGTGTGAAAGTATGTACATATTAAATTGAGGGTTCAATTTAGCTGTGTCATTGATACAACAATGGGATGTGTAAGTAGTAAGCCCAAGGCTGTTGAAGATGGTGGTGGGAGTCCTAGGCAGAGAGTACCGAGTAAGAGACTGTCTCGAACGACGTCTTCGAGTAGAGAAGGAGGTCCCCAAATGATGAGCAGAAGTGATAGTAGAACGTCTTTGATTGATAGAAAGGCAAACACTTCGATTCGATTATGTGAGGACCGTTCTGAGAAGAGTAGAGTGAAACCGGAAGATGTTTTGGTGCATCAATCAGATATTAGCGTAATTCCTAAAGCTTGGGAAGGTGAGCAGGTTGCTGCTGGTTGGCCTACTTGGCTTGCTATGGCTGCTGGTGAAGCTGTCTCGGGTTGGATTCCTCGGCGTGCAGACTCTTTCGAGAGATTGAACAAAGTATGCGCTTTCTTTCCAATTTACTCGTGTTTCTACTTTCTTAATGTTCCCCTTACCTCTATTTAAAAACTTTGATGTTCCTAAGTCATTATTGTGTATCTGTATACTTATAAAGTTATAAGTAGTGGACCAGTGACTCTTCATTTGGTTAGTTTTGTGATATAAATTATGAAGAGATACCTAAAGGATAAAATTCAGGCTAGTTAGCATGGAGACTTACAAAAGATTTTATTTGGTTTCCATGTCTTTATCTCTAGAACTCTAGATGTTATAAGCTAAGCCGTGATAAAGCTTTGATTTCGAGTGGTGTCTTGAGCTTTTTTGAACTTAAATTCTCAACTTTGACCTACATTAAAATTCAACTTGAGTTTTTAATCTTTTATGTTATGTTAGTTTATATAACTACAGTTTTGTTATTGCTTTTGGGTTTCTTAACAATATTGTAACTATATTTACTATTTATTTTAGGTGAGCTGTTATAATATGTAAAATAAAATACTTATAACGTACTTCTAAGCTTTTTAGCCTGGTAATGAGCTTTTCAAGTCAAGCAGTTTTGTCTAGTAATATTTTTGAGCTGTTTGGGAGCTATTTAGGATCATAAATGCCCCTAAGTTTAGACAAATGGCCAATATTTTTTATGTGTATCTACTTGAAGATTTGTAATTGGATTGGACCTAAGGTGAAAACGATGACAAATATCAACTTCTTGCCATGGTATTAAATCTTAATCGTATCACTGCATCGCGAGCATGTATAGGAATTTGAGCTTACTGCGACGAAAGATATATTAGGCTGCAACAGTCGCGCCCACATTGCCCGCAAAAGTGGTTATGTGACTATTACCATGATTGCGACCGCATCTGAAATTTAATACCATGCTACTTGCTTCTTACAATTTTTCTAGTGTCATGATGATAATACGAGTGTGAATCTTGTGTCAACTAATGTTGCAATAATTTCAACTACATTTTCCCATCGAAGTATCAATATTGGTGAGATAATCATGGACTAAAAATTATCTTCTCATGTTTCTCTCACATCCCACTAAGACTACCTATATCCCCTTTTTTGTTTCTTGTGGTTGCTCATGGGTTTTTTTTTTTTTTTTTTTTTTTTTTTTTTTTTTTTTTGGGGGGGGGGGGTTGGGTCGGAGGAAACGCTATCATAGGAATGGGGCAAACTCAATGGGACATCCATACCTTTATCTCAGCATTAAAACAGTTGTTCATATAAATTGAGTAGGAGTTTATATTTTACTGCAACAAATGAGTTCTAGTAACCTTAATTTAGGCCCTGTTATTTTTAATTATTTTTATTGATTAAAACTTATTTTTACTGATACTATATTATATTTGTTCTTTAATGTTACTGATTTAAACTTGTTTTTACTTAACTAAACTAATTTTTGTTGAACTTATATATTTTGAACTTAGCTTAGTTTTACTGAAATTATTTTTAACAAATTAAGTTATATTTATTGATTATCATTTGAATAAGGGGAAGAGAACAAGTCTAGTGAGATAAAGGGTTTTCATGTGAAAAAATTGAAGCCTAATACATTTTCAATTATGTACACAAATTTTATCCTCAAGTATTTTTCTGATCCCAGCAGTACAAACCATAAGTCATGACTCTTTTCACTCTTCCTAGAAAAATTTAAATTATTGTGGCTCGAGTTTCTCGATGACTATTACTTAGGGATTTAATTTACTACTTTAGGAGCTAATTAATTTCTTATGTGTTAACTATGTAAAGATGCCAGTGACATGAATTTTTAGGGTTTCTTTAATATTTTGTCTTGCTTGCAAAGCAAAGCTTGATTTGGGGATTTTACCCCGCCACATGGTCCAATGAGAGTGTGCCATGTGTCACCCTAAAAGGAGTCCAAATGGACTCACCTGGATTTGACACGTGGCATGGAGATACTCATCAGGGAATGACGACTTTCAGGGCTCAATTCCAAAGAAAATCGCAAAGCGGCACAGCCCACCAAATCTAGGTCAGAATGACCTAGGTAAGGGCGCATTTACCAATGACCCTATAAATAGGGAGATTTACCCCATTTTGTGATACATTTAATTATTACATCACAATCAATTCTCCTACAACAGAGAAAACACCTGATCTCGGGATCCGAGAAGATCTACTTTTACTTTCCGCACTTTTTACCTTACTTCGACCGGTTCTAACTTGATCGTCGGAGGCAGAACTCCTACCAACAGGAGCTTCCGTTGTTTTGCAGGTACAACCGGTAGGGAATCCAGTCTTGGTGACGTAACTCTCCCGTAGGACATAAAAAACCCCAAAACATTTGGCGCTGTCTGTGGGGAGATTAGCTCTAAGATGGTTTCTTAAGAGACTGTATCGCCTCTTGAGGACAGAGGTCCATTCGGACCATGATACCGATTCTAATCTAGAGGTCGAAGTATATACGGTCAAAGATAAATCCCTTAAAACTAGACGCATCCGTTTCAAGGATAATAGGGAACAAGTCGTTGATCAGGTGGGTTCGAGTAAGTCAACCGACCAAGCCCAGGCGACAGAACACACTGCCCGAGACGAGTTCATGAAATTTATGACGAGTTTCAAGGGAGAAATGAAGGACCTGATCTCCAAGAGGATGGTTGGTTCCAGCAAGGGTCAGTCGGCCAAGAAGCCCTCTCACTCTGTGAAGGCTAAGTCGGTCAAAGATAGGCAGCCCACTCTGCATCCTAAAACGAAGGAGGGGATTCGGCCTTTGAACGATTGGACATAGTTTCGCTTCCCTGAGTAGGGAAAGAGGAAGGCCATCCGGCATACTCCGGATGGCAGCAAGAAGACTATCGCTGATGCTCGACTTATTATTGAGCAAAGGAGAAACCAGCAACTATCTGACTCAGCTTCTGACGTTGACTTTCCTGGAGAGCTTCCAGAATACCTCGATGAGGAGAGCCTGTGAGGCTCGTCATACAGGTCCTCAGATGATAGGGTCAGTCCCATATGTGCCCTGTCAGCCATACAGGCCATTAGCCTAGCCTTACCTGCAGCCTGCCCTCTTCAGGGGTTAGGCGACATATAACGTCCAGCCACTGGACCCGCAGCTCCGTCTACTCAAACTTTGAGAACAACCTTCTGCGTTCTCCAAGGAGATAACACAGCCGACCAAGGTTAAGAATGTCATGGTGGATAATTATGATGGTACCACCAGAAGACCACCTGTTGGCATACACCCACCTCATGTACTTGCAGGGGTTGAATGATGCCGCATGGTGCAGGTGAAGGGCATTGCCCAGTAGTGGTTAGACAATTTGCCGGCTTGGTGCATCAACAATTTTAGGATACTTGCGTTCTTGTTTGCCTCAAACTTCTCCATAAACATACCCACTAAAAAGACATGCCTTGACTTAGGTGCGGTACAACAGGGAGATAGGGAGGGGCTCCGTTCATACGTCTGACGGTTTCAATTTGGTGAGAATCCAGATCCAAGGATTGTCTGACGATGTTGCTTACATAGACTTCTTCAAAGGTCTGAAAGACGGGTCGACTTTCAAGTTTGACCTCGTCCGAAAGAGAATCTCAACTCTTCAAGAGGCGCTGATGGAGGCGGAAGCTTATGTACAGACGATCGAGCTCTGCTCCACCTGCAAGCAGTCGGACTCCAAAAAGTCTGACAAACAAAATGGGAGTCGGCAAGAACAACCAGCTCAGAAAGCTGAAGAGAGCAAGAAGAGAAAACGATTCTCATCAGCTATCCTAGAAGAAAAGCAAAGAGTCTAAACTGTACGTTCCCAAGTACAAGTTTAACAAGGACCGCTACTCCATCATCATGGAGATAAAAGACCGGGTGACCATTGAGAAGCCTAGTAATGAAAGGTCCGGCCAAAAATCGGAATAAAGACAAGTACTGCCATTTCCATGAGGATATTGACCATGATACCAACGATTGCTACAGCCTCATGCGGTTGCTAGACAGATTGGCTGATAAGGGGGTGCTAAAGTCCTACATCCTCAAGTCCAAGGTGATCTTGAAGATGGCCCCTAGACAGTCGTAAAAAATGCCAGCAAAACCCACCAGTAGTCCGGACACAGATAAGGAGCCGGTCTACACCATAGCAGGCGACTTTGTTAGTGGGGGCCTAACTGTCAGAGACACAAGTACCATGACAGGCAGTTGGATGTCAGCTCGGTCGATGAGGGCCATGCGTCTACCGACACTTTTCTTGAGGTCATCATCTTTGAGAAGGATCGGGTGAAGTCTGCCGGCCGCATGATGACTCCATTGTTATTGAATGCAAGTTGGCCAACCAAAGAGTGGGTCGTATCCTTATTGATACCGGTAGCTCATCCGACATCATCAGCTGGAAGTGTCTGTCCAAGTCCAAGCTGAAGTACAAGCCAGGTAGCATGCACAAAGTTACTCACCCCTTGGTTGGTTTTGGGGGTGGAGTTGTGCACCTAGTCGGCCGAATTGATTTACCCATTCGGCTAGGAGAGAAGGGAGAGGGGCGCCATATGGTCGTCCGGTTCTTGGTCGTAGAAGAGCTGACCGCCTATAATATCATTTTGGGCCGTCCAACTCTGAACAAATCCAAGGTCGTCATTATCCCATCCCTTATGCTGCTGAAATTTGAGAAAGATGATGGTTCTATTGGCTTCGTGAATGGAGACCAGAAGGCGGCTCGAGAGTGTTATCTCCCAGACGTCAAACCCACGGTGGTAGCAGTGGGCGAGGGTGAGGAGCCAATAGACCTTGACAATGTCAAGGTAGCAGACTCTGCCCCACCAACAGTAGGCAAGAAGAGAAAGGCCGACTGGAGAACATATAGATATCGTTCCGGATAACACATGTCGGAGTATACTGTAAAGGTTGGGACGACTGCTTTTGCAAAACAGGGTGCAGACTTGCACTATGAAAGAATTCAAGGACATTTTTGCCTTTGAAGTAGAAGAGATGCCAGGCATCAGCATGGATCTCGCCGTCCACAAACTCGCCGTGGATCCAAAAAAAAAGCCTGTTA